GTGTATATGTGTCGGTATGTGAGTCGGTGTGTCTGATTTGTCGGTTTATATGTGTCTGTGAGTATACGTCTGTGTCTATGTGTCGATGTGTACATATGTCGATGTATATGTGTCGGTGTTTATATGTCGGTGTGTCGTGTCGGTCGAGTAAGAGGAAAAGACACTGTGGTCACTGGACAGCGTAAACTTAGCTGATTATAGTGTGCAAAAAAACAGAGACAACACTGTTTTTGTTGCCATATTGCAGAGCTTTTCTTCTGTTGACCGCCTCGTTCACAACACAGCATACTTGGAGCTTCGCGTGCGTTACCTTTGCAAGGTTGATAGTGTATCACCGAGTAATGTCATCACCATGTAACAATACATTTCTTTCTTTCCTGAATGTATTAACTGTGGGACGTGTGGCCGTCCTTTTAAGCGATTGAGTATCTGAAACTGAAGGTTCCTTGTCGGATACACTTCATAATTCGTCAATTACGCTAACCTGAACCTCCAGTTTTAAAACCGTTCCACCGGCTACAAAATTTGATTCGGCCTTCAAAGCGGCCTATAATGATTGGAGTACCTCTGATGCTACACATGCCAAGTTTGCTCAATTAATCCGAGTAAAAGTGAGAGAACAACACGTTATGAAGTCATCGATTTAGGAACACACTTCAGCGTTATGATTCTTGATATCTTGAACTTTATATACGGAGCCGCAGCCGCCTTCNACCTCCAGTTTTAAAACCGTTCCACCGGCTACAAAATTTGATTCGGCCTTCAAAGCGGCCTATAATGATTGAAGCACTTCTGATGCTACACATGCCAAGTTTGCTCAATTATTTTGAGTAAAAATGAGAGAACAACACTTTACGAAGTCATCGATTTAGAAACACACTTCAGCGTTGTGATTCTTGATATCTTGAACTTTATATACGGAGCCGCAGCCGCCTTCGCCAAGTTTCTTTATAATCCTCCATCGTTGACCTACTATTTTCCCTTTTGGTAATTGTACAGGGCCGGCGTCTGGAAGCGAAACAATGATTACTGTACATGTTGTTAAACAGTCTGTTTCCCAACAGAACCTGACATAGATCGCCGAACAGCACCGAGTAGACTTAAAAAAATGAACCTCACCCACTGCGCTGTTCTTTTTAAACTGCTTTCTTATCATTCCTTACCAATGAAGACTGATATCGCCATCAATGAGCAAAGCGTTTGCCTTGAATCCTTCATTCAAAATTCATTTTGGTCCGGAACAGTAGTGGATACAGTTGGTCTATGTGAAGACTTGCGGCAATCAAGCGTTGTGGAAAGGAGTGTTCATTTTATCGAACTAATTTGATACCAACTCACTTGATCGAATGAAATGTACGGGTCCATCCTGAGCCTAGCACGTTAAAGTGGCGCTGATTGCTACTGTCCCACCTTCGATCCTGCTATTTGATGACGGCAGTAACTCGCAACAAAAATTGGCATGCTGGTCCTTAGGAGACATGAAGAACTTCTCAGTGCTCCTCCTTTAATTCTGTAACCTAAGCATTTCTTATTCGGAAGAACAAGAGAAGCAAATGAACATTCACCATTTCTTCTGTGTTACATAGCACTCGACATTCGTTCGCTTTCAAACGGTGGCTCATCACAGTGAAATACGAGGTCGTCAGAGGTTTAAATGTGTTTTTCCATTCACCAACGAACCCCACATCTACACGAGTAATCGACAAAGTGTGCGCCTGACGAAAAGGATTTGCCCCCATAAATGCACGTGCTTGATAGGCTGCCCTTAGAGACTGCAGCACCCCTGCTATATACCTGAGAAACAGGACAAAGGACGATGGATCAACGTGAACCACAGGAGAAGCTGTTCCGCCGAAGGGGCAAAACTTAGATAAATTCTGTAATAGCAGAAGTTGCGTATCGAGCACAATACCCTGTCTTGCTGATCTCATCGCTGGTTTGATGCAAAGGAGTGGCAGGATTTTTAGCGATGGAGCGAGCTGTTGATTCTGGACAGGAAAAGTCATTGTTCTGTGGAACCGAATTTTATCTACCCCGTCTGTTTATTTAGAAGTATTGGATGTTCGTTTTTAGGCTAGGGGTCGTAAAAAATAGCATACCGGTCAGTCACATGTTTTAGCCGATTAGTTCGGCGGCTAATAACCTGTGCTGGCTATGTAATCGCTCAACCAAACAGTGACGATTATGTAGGAGGGAATGACCTCACAAACACTGCCACATTGTGTGCATCCTTCCTTTAACTAAACTACCTATTTGCACATATATATGTCAGGATCGCTGCCTTCGTTCTTCTCTACTTATTAATAAAGAGCTCAAACGATAACAAATAGGAATTCCCAGCTCAGCATTCCCAATTTATGGGTGGTTTCGAGTCCCTATTGTAGTGGATGGACTTCAGGAGGTCACCCAATTCCTACCAGTACTTTGAAGACACAGTTCACGATGAAAGTGGTTTGTGAGATATCTCCCCAGGATGAACCTATGACCTCCAAGATTAGCACAAGGGACTCTGTCGGGTGGAGAAACGATCGGGATACGGCGGAATAAGGTCCCTGAAAGCAGCTTCGTCGACGTAAGACGGAAGGTTTCTCACAGCCTTACAGCAGTAGGCGTATGGTAGAGTGAGCACCATTAGCACTTGCATACGTTGCACGCACGCAGCTTTGTGGTCAGCTCTACGCAATGGCTTACACATTTGGACAGCTCGTCCAAACACCCTTCCGATGCCGTCTGTCATTGTCGTCTATTGTCGTTACATCCTCGCCCAGCCCCTTGTTCTAATACTTTTTGAAGCCTTATACCTCCGAATACGCAGATCTTCACATTTTTTCGCCATATCTGCATTATTCCGAATCATCACTTCCATTATTCGTTAATAAAATATCGCCGAAAATTACCGGGAACTGTGCTTCCAACTTGTAAGACGAGGCTGTCCCCATTTGTTCGACTACGGTGGGATGGAGAGCCCATTGGTTTCAAAAAGTTTTCACGGATTCCGGTTCGATTCGTGGGCCTTCATAGAGTAATGAGGTCAATTCTTATTTCCCCCCACCTCCCAACTATATGAAGATAGTCTTGAAAATGGATTAGCCTATTAATGTAAAAAATGAAGTCGACTACTTGCATGCTCTTCGATTTGGTGTCTTTTATCACTGTTCGTGAGCAATACTATCCAAGAATCACTGATCTCGGGCACTACTCAGCTGTAGTGCTATCACTGAAGATAGAAGAGATATTGTGACTGAGTGCAGTACACCTGACCATTCACAATTGGTATGATCCTGATTAATTCAGTCAATTGATTCGTTGTTTCTATGTTGCTTGATTGATGCCGGCCTCGTCTGTGAAATTAAGGACTCTCATATTGTACAACGATCACTTCNTAGTGCTATCACTGAAGATAGAAGAGATATTGTGACTGAGTGCAGTACGCCTGACCATTCACATTTGGTACGATCCTGATTAATTCAGTCAATTGATTCGTTGTTTGTATGTTGCTTGATTGATGCCGGCTTCGTATATGAAATTAAGGACTCTCATATTGTACAACGGTCACTTCCCAGAAGTCATTATATAGGCTAAGTTTCGAATTGCCACTGCAGTTTTGACCAAAGCCAGGTGCGCACTCCATCTCAAAGAGGAATTGGTCAACAGTAAGCTCTTTTTGATGACCTGCTTGGCCTTTTAATGGGATCGAGTATGGTATGCACTTTGCTGATCCGCACTAGCGATTTCACATCACCCTTGGTTGATGTATTCAATCCACTGATGAGCAACGTAGAAGGCGCACTTCGTGCTCAATTTTGGTTTTGTAGACAGTCTGCTGAGATAGTAATGAAAATGAACGGAAGAGTTGTGGTGTGACGCGCAAAAAATAGCCTGAGAACAGGAAATATGTGAAGGGTTATTGTGAGAGTTCGTCGTCTTTTGTGGATTTTTTTATTGAACACTTCTCTGGCACTTGACTGCTAATATCGAGCTTCACAACACAAATCTAGTCGGACTTTGCCTAAAGCCATATACATATTACGAGGGCATCCAAAAACCAGATGTGCTGAATGTTCATTCCCCATTGTGATCATATAGGCATTGATACGATCAACCATCTTTGTGAATCTACCTACGAACACATATAAGTATATCTGACAAGAGCTAGTAAAATATCAAGAAACACGGGACTTAATAGGTGGCTGAGTTTCGGGATATTTCTGAGAATTGAAGAGGACTTGAGGAAAGGATAACTGGAGTTTGCATATGGGCATGAGATGCGTTAAAAAAATCAGTGTTTGGGTATTTTTGATGGGGCGGAGGTGGTATAGTAGCAAATGGCTCCCTACATATCACACATGAATGGCCCGGATCAATACTCGCCCAGACCAACCAATCATTTCATCCGTTTGTGGTCGGGCAGTAGGAACCAGATGCGTGTGGGATACTAAAGCAAGGCTTTCTACATCGGCTGGCCACCGCAAGTAATTTTTTGGGCCGCATACAAGCATACAAACGTTACTATGATTAAGAGTTTGGGGCGCATCTCAAAAGTGAAATCAATTATCGTGCAGATATTTTGAAGACTTGATCCTCTCTAAGGACATCCTCCTTCCTAAGGAAATCCCTATTCTTCGACTTATTGCGACTGCATTGTGATCACTCCGACCAATTCAAAAGATTTAGACGGTATAGGTGGGAACTTGGAAGAAAGCTTCCCTTAATAATGGTTGTCAAAAGTTATCAGTGAAAGAGGAATCCAACAGCAGCCGAAGTTTAGCAGTTTAACCCGAATTCGCTAGCATCAAGGCTAGGGATGGCAGTGGTAGCGGAATAGTAGACTCGAAGCCTTTCAGTTGTTGAAATAATACTACTGGAAGTCACCTTGAGGGGTTCAGGTTGCTGCTGTGACCTTGGAGATTACTGTTCAGAGGGCCTTCAATAGAAATGTCATTGTCTATTCAGGTCAACTCAAACAATGAAATAACTCAACTACTTATGAAGTTCCTTCTTGGAAAAATGCCAACAAGAAATATTATCAGTGCAAAAATCGCATTATTTTTCGTTTTTTTCTGTTTGAAGAGCACTTTACTTTATTCCACGAAATACCGTGGTTCCCATGTGGGGATCTTCCGCAGTTAGAAACAAGTGCTAGCTACCACTCTGGGTGACAAATTCAAATAGGTAGGGACCTGATTGGCTCTTATAAAAAAGTGAAGAATGCACGGGGGTGGCAACTTGTCACAGTTTTTATGCTCTGTGCGCTTCATTGAACATCTAGACTTCTTTCTTCGCCGCTTTTCACTTTCCTCATCTTGACTTTTCGTTCCAACTAGCGGGTAATCTACCGATGAAACTGGCCCACGTCGTGTAAATTGGCGCCGCGATCCATCGCTGTTGCATAAGAAACAAGTTCAGCCTCACGTCCTACATATGTATTAGGTGTAGTTTTTCACTGTAGTTCATAGAATTCTTCGTTAACTTTCGAAAATTTCTCGTTTCCCCACTTCTCACTTTTTGGAAGGACAGTGAGAAGCGTAATTAGTGCCTGAAATACGCCCAACTCCATAATATATAGTACGGTACTCTTAAAAGTTACTAACTCGTAGCACTTTTGAAATATTTCGTCTCGAGATGCTATCACTTCTTGCGCCCCTGAGGAGCTAGAGGAAGAATATTTTTTGGAATTGAACGAATGCTCTGTAAAGGGCATCTGGCTCTCTATGTGGCTAGCAGCCCAGTTGTAATGTTCATAGAATGAGTTGGTGCTAGCTCAGTAGTTATAGCCATACCATTTCGTTGATGCATCCTCTATCAGTCCTTCTCCCAACTACTTCCTTCAACCCAGTGTTTCCAGTTAATTAACATTTGCAGTACCGTTTAAGAGAACAAAACTAGTTGCTTGAGCGCAAGGGATCTTATAGTGGTAAGGGTATGGTTCACGTAGGCCTTTTCCCCGGACAGACCACGATAGTTTTGCTAGGCAAGAATAAGTATAAGGCTTAGGTAAAGTCAAAAATTGTTATGAGCTCAAGAGGCGGCACATCACGCCATGATGATCCTTGAAATGAAGTCTTGCCTTTGTCCCTAAGCATCTCTGCTTTCCTCTAAAGCGACACCAACTGTGACGATTTTGTGCATGTTCGCTGAATTAGAAAGAACTTCTCC